GATATGCTGTCAGTGCTGTGAACGTCAGCGGCTGTGCGTTGATTTAGTGAGGTGTCACTATCTTCAGCGCCGGCAGGGACAGGCACTCGCTGACAGTGTTGCGTCATCCCTGTCAGCCCGCTGGCTTCAACCAGCTGCCGCTGCCTGCGGCGACTACCTCTCCTTATGGCCGACCATGGCCCGCGGTTGGCGACTGGTGTGGAACGAACGGCGGCACCAGCGGCCGGTCGGCCCCGCGTACTACGTCGTTGTCGGCGCCGCGGCGACCGCCGGGCATCGTCACGGCTCGGCGGGAGTGCAGGGGAGGGGTGGGGTGGGGTGGCGTTGCGCAACGTTCCCGGACCTCCCAGTCCACGTGGCGCCCGACGCCCCCGCCTTTACGGTGGCCCCGACGCCCCCGCCTACACTGTGGCCCCGAAACCCCGTGCCGTATGGACCCGGGTGAGACCGCGCGGTGACTCGCCGGCAGAGAGGGGCGGGAGCGATGTGGCATGGCGAACAGAGGGTTTATCGGGCAGAACGGATGTCTGAGGGGCGTGCTTACATGGTCAGCGGTCAGTGGGATCCGATCTGATCCGTGTTAGCATTATTCGTACTTCGCTACTATCACTGGGGTGTCACTTCAGATACAGTGAGTGAAACTTCGCCACGTAGATGGAGTTCATAAGGTGTTGCATAAGGGTTCCAAGACTTTTGATGGTTTGCAATGACTCGATTGTCGACTTGCATGCCTTTCTCTAATTTTTTAGCCGGTTCTAATGAATTCAACCACGAATAGCTTCTCAAGACTGTTTTCCCCATGAGCCAGCCACAGCAAACGTTTCGGAGAGCGCTGGGTTCGCGAAGCACTTGGTCCGTTTGGGTGGGGCCCTGAAGCGAAACGTTCTGAGACGCTATCGACACATCGTATCTTCGCCATGATTGTCTGCTGCGAAGTACCTCCTGGGGGGTCTTGGGGCTCCCTTATCTCGATCACGCCGGGCTGTATGGAGAGGCTGAGGGATGGCAACCAGGGCTCCCACCCCTGTGAGTCATTGGGATCAGGTGGGCCTCACTGCACCAGCTCGGTTTGCTCAGTGAACTTATCGCTGCCTGTTGTGGTCGACAGTTAGCTTGTCACATGTTTGTATATTTGTTTTCCATCATTTATCTTTATCTGGGCGCAGTTGTCTGTGGCGCAACCATGGCTGTATTTGTGCAGAGTGGGATGATGACTAGCATTGTACACAGATAGGAACGTGTGTCACCGTCAGAGGTAGACCCGGGATGTCCTGTCCGTGAGACAAGGGCGGGGTGCCTGCTCCCCCAATTGTGTGCCGTCAGCTGCGCTCATAACCTCCAGATCTGAATAGTGGACGCACCTGTTGCTCATGTTTGCTCTCGTGAACAGTGATTCACTGTCGGCTGATTTTGAAGTGTCGTTAACGAAGTTATGAAAAGTTCAGGTAGCTTCAGCTAGCAAAAAGTTCAGCTCAGACACAAACAGTGCGACGCCTGGGTTATATTTTGTTTATCTTTCATTGTTCAATTTTAGCGTCTATTTTTTCAGTTTCTTAACTAACCTCTACTCTACATTCCTCTATTAGTCTGTGCAGCGAAGCGGGGCACGCTCCTTGACAAATGATCGGATCGCCTCAATACATAGGTCCGGGGAATTCTGTCAGCGGTGCCATCGATGTTCTGAGACCGTTGACGAGTTCACGGGAGCAGAGATGGCGAGTAATGGCGCAATATCACGCCAGGCAGCGTGTAGTTTCCAGTGAGGGACAATCGCCTTGCTAGCATGTCTGGTTCACATTTGTTCCCCATCGCTCAGTGTATAGTTCCAGATATGGAAGTGGTATGACATTCTTCAAAAGAGGGTTGTGAAAATTGTCAGTTTCGTTAAAAAAAAAACATCACATGGAACAGCTAAGGACATTTTTAGACAGCCATGTCCCACTCTGGCCGCCCAGGGCGCACCCAGAGCGGTCAGATGTCGCGTCCGAGGTCAGTCGGGTCAGGGGCTTCCGCGACGGCCCGGAATTCGCGGAATCGTCTTATCCGTCCAATTACCCGCCGTCTGCCCGACGCGGCATTTCATGAATACGCAAATCCGTTTTAATGCCAGGAATTTTAATGACTTTTTGATAAAATGTTCCGCCAGACGCTCTAGTTCGCTTAAGAAGCGCTAGATATTTACCAAATGTGCCATCCTAAATGAACGTATTCTAGTAGCGCTTAGTTCGGTAACACTGTTCGTTTTTGCCCGACGGCTGCGAAATTTTGCGACGCTGATAGTCAGTTTTGACCAAAGCTAAACACCAGCTCGGGCATTTTCAAAGCAGTGTCTAGTCAAGACTCCTCTCGGTCCTTATCTTACCGTATTTAGACGAGTCTTGTCAGTCTCTGCGCAGTTACCATTTGATAGTTAGTACTCGAACTCCGGAATTTGACAGTTGTGAAGTCCTTCGCTGAGTGTTGGCGTACAATTTATGTCGCAACTGACCTTTGATCCCTGTACGCCGTTTTACTATCACATTTTACGGTTGTTTGCAAACTCATGGTGACTGTCAGACACATCGGTATTTATGGTTTGTTTTGCATTTGTGCAGTTACATTTGGATAGAATTAAGGAACAGGTTTTGGAACATGTTGATCACCGACCACATATGCACTTTACTCACTTTAAAGGCATTCAGCATGTGTGAGCAGGTGGTTGTTATGCAAACGAAAATTTAGTGGTGGCTTCCGGGATAGGTGCAACAAACACGACGATGCATTCATTGCAGACAATATGACTGTCGAAATCGTCCACAAAGGCTAGACCAACGATCTGCATTGAGCTGCTGTCAGCAAACCTATCCTCTGCCATTTCAATAAATGATGCTCCCGAGACCATAATCCCCGCTGTGGTTAGTGACGAAAACGTTGACGTTATGCCACCGTGGTGAAACCCCTGGCGCTACCTCGCTGCTGAACAAACCACAGAGCTGATCACCAGCCGGAGGCCCGGTGCCGCGTCGTTACCTGCACGTCGCTCTGTCTTCCCCGGTCCCTGCCGTCCCATTTCATGTCGTCTCGTTTTCGCTGACGTTTTGTCTTCTGGGCTGTCTTTGGGGAGCGGTGATGGATGATGGCTGTCGGTGGGCGCCGGGTCTCTCCGGGAATAGTGGAGCACAAACTCGACTTAACCCGGTGTGGCGAACGACTGGAGGTCCCCGCTGTTGTCCGTCCTGGTGCCGGATGGCAAGCGTAGGGTGGGGGGTCTGGGAAGGCCGGTCCATCGGTGGATAAGATATGGTATGCTCTTCGTACGGTTGTGGTTATTGCGTTCGATTAGAGCGCGTATGGGAAGGTGTGATTTGCTGTGATCAAAGCTCTGTTTTGTGTTGTCGACTGCTATTGGGATCTGTTGCTGTACTCGGGATATTTTGTAATGAATACTCCAATGAACGTCCCAGTCCGAAACGTTTTCTGTGTGTTTTAAACTGGTGTGACTAGCGGGTCATGTCATGCCCCCCTAAGTCCCCTTCTACCACCAGTTCCTTTGTGGTCCCTTCCTGCACTCCACCACCCCCTCTAACGTCATAGCCCTCTCGCTGTGGCTCCTCTGGTCCCCTGTGGCGCCCCGCAGAGTTCCACGCTCCGCCACAGGGAAGTCCGAGCCCGTCGCACCGTACCCGGCACCCCGTGTGAGTCGGTGTGTGGCCCAGTTCTGGGCCGACCACGTGGCCGCACCGGGGTCTGCCCTTTGTCCGGGGCTCTGTGGGCGCTTTCCCTCCTCCTCCACGCAGGGACTTGGCCGTAGGGGCGCAATGGTTGGAGGGCGGCTGACCGCTGGCTGTACGACGGCAGGTAGCTAGCCGTCGACTGTACGGTTGGTGATCACCTTTGTCAAAATTAGGATGAATTGTGGCGGGTGTAATATCTTTTTTTCGACTAGAAATGAATGAGGCTCTAACATCTGAGTGGTTGCAGTTTGTTTTGGCTGGCGCATTTCTCATTGTTCACCAATTTAAGGCTGGCTAGGTGAAGACGTTTTTATTTTATTGAAAAATTCTTGCTTCATCATGCCATCAGTCGACAACTACCTACTGTGATGATATTGTGTAATGCCGTCGTACCCAGGGTATATTGACTTACAGTCGTACCGTACCCTCATTACATTTAATCGGACTCTTGAGTATTTTGCACACAGGACATGCAATTGAAATTGAAACATATGGCACGCGAGCAACCTGCAACAGACACGTGCCCAAACTTTGGCAAAACTTTCACAACGGATAATGGGTTGAGATAAGATTGCATTGTATGGAAAACGCGCAATGGCCAAAGCTGAAGTCGCACGACACTGCATTCCCGAGCAGAAGTTTCGAATGGTGTCCATTGTTCATGCTCAATGGCATTGTGAGCATGGTTGTCATTTCACAGAAGAGTTTTCAGCACTGTGTTGTGTTATGTTGATGGTTTGTCAAAGTATTGTACCGAGAAACACCCATTATTAGATGAGAACCAGGGCGCTACCTGTGAATTGACCAGGATGAATACCAGCTAATCGGTACCCCTTCAGCTCCTGCACAATCATTGATCACCGGTTGTTGGCTTCCTATCAGCCATCGGTGTAGATATGCTACCTGTCCCTGGTCAGCCGGAACTCTGCCGGTGGGAGCCGGACCGTACCGTCCACTCCCTGTGAAGTCCCTGTCGCTGTCCTGCCGACATGTCCAACACGCCCGCGGGCCCGCCCTGGCCGCGCGCCGGCATGTCCTACCTCTTGTACCCGCTCGCCGGTGGTCCGTTTTGGCGGCACCCCTTATCACATGACTATCGCATGACTGGCGCGAATCAGCCACGTGGTGCCTCCTCACCACGTGATGGTCGAGCACTTTCACCCGGGGTTACCACGTGGCTGGCCGCGGCCGATTACCTCTCGTCGTCTGGCCGTTCTCTGTGCTCACCCTGATGACCCCCGGTGATGTCTCCTGACGTCTGACGTCGCGTCTGTCTCTGCCCCGCAGGTGTGCCGACGATATGAGTGTCCGATCTAGTCAGGTGTATGGTGATGCTTTCGGTGTGCGGCGGTATGAGGATTATAAGGCGGGTCGGAGGAACGCCTACAGGAGTGGACCTTTTTTAGACAGGTGAGTGCCGAGAGCAGCCCGCGCTGCACCGGCGAAGGGGGAGGGGAGGGTGTCGGTGAAGTGCCTCAGGGTGTGGTGTGGTGAAAGGTGCCCCGTCCCCCGTGTGCTCCCGTTACAGAGAGGGTGTAGCATGTGTGAATGTTCCCTGAAAAAGTGCGGGCAGATAAACCGCCGGTGATGTAGGTACGCGCGCTGTCGGCCGATGAAGTTGGTCGATTGCACGTGCACTGAACCGTTCCCTGCCGTACTCGCCGTCTGTTGTCTTTGTAAACGGTTGCACAAGAAGTTGCGATGGTAATCGTGTTTATTTTTACCCTTGCTCCTCGGCGATGACAGATATACGCGATCTCCTCTGGTGCTGCGTCAGCGAGTGCGCGTGCTGTGTGAACTTGCGTAAGAGACCTGTAGTGACCTATTGTTGGACGTCCAGCCCGCTGCCAATTGCGCAACCTGGCAGAGTCCAGCGCCCCTGCGCGCGACTGACCGCGTGCGGCCCCTGCACTTCGGCCGTCTGGGCCGACACCTCGCCAGACGACACCGCTGCCAGCGCCGCCCCGGCAACCGGTTCCCGGTGGCGACTGTCACGGTCGGTCCGAGCCCAGGCCCCCACCCGGGCCACTGTTGTCAAGCCCAGAGCGGGATCGGCGCCGGGTCTTTTTCCGGCGCAGCGCGGCCTGTTTGATGTGACACCGACGTCGTTTTTGCGACCTCATTCTAATGCGACGATGAGGTCGACGTAGAGGGGCGGAGGCCGACCGGCCGTCACGTCGCGTGACGTTACGTGACGTCTGTGACGGCCATGACGTGACGTCTGTGACTATTATGAAGTGACGGGCTGCGATGCTCTGGAGGAAAGAGATGGCATCTGTCGCTGGTGCTCGTTAGCCCGCCAGCTCTGCGGTCTTGTGTAAGGCGGTGGTTAGTGACAGCGTGTCGGCCGGCATGGCTGAATATTCAGCAGTCACACCGTGCCGCAGGTTGCATTGTCGCTGGAGGCCACTATCCCCCGGTCTGCACCTGTCCTGTTATTCACTACATCGTCCACCAATGCAGTTGCAGCCCAATTCAGGATGACCATGGCGCCTGAGAATGCTGGCTAAACTGACTGTAACTCCATCCATCCGCAAGAAGCAGACTTTCGGAAGGTTATCCAACAGCGTATCCCGGCAGCGCTGTCCATCCAAGAGTAGGCAAATGTTCTGCCATGACGAGTTGGCCAGACCGCACAGCCGTTCAGCCGCACTGCCGGCTACCTGGCGGACATAAGCCCACCTCTGCCGCCTGCCCGGCTCTGGCGCCACCACTGTGACCCCGGTCACCAGCTCCTAATCCGGGGCCGCGGCCGGTGGACCCGGCCCGGATTAGACCGCGCGCCGGCCCGTAATGCGCCCCGTGACGTGTCCGACGGGCCCGGCTTACGGCGGCCCGGGCCGGGGACAATTTCCATTACCCGCCCAGCAAATGAGCTCCAAGACCTAAGCCGCCGGCGGCGTCTGGGGAGCCGCGAAGTCGCCTGCATGCGATGCGAACGGTCCGGGCTCGGGTGGATTACGGGAGGCTATTTGCGTATAAGGAATGTTTATTCAGCTGGACGCGAGTATTCTGATGCTCTGTCTAGCCGCTGCTTTCCTCGTGTGGTTTTGCCGACTCTGGTATCATGAAATCACATTAACCCTATTAGTGGCAGGGGGGGGGGGGTTGTTTTTATCCACCCCTCAGGTTTTTCGGGAATATCTCCGAAACCGCTGAAGCTACGATGCTGAAGTTTTCTGACTTTTCCTAAAACTAAATTGGGCACATTCCCTGAAAATTTCAAGTTCATAACTTTACCAGGGGCGGCTCCAGAGCACTGGGAATTGGGGGGTCCTATTCGTGAAGCGAGTCATTTGGGCGAAGATCACGATGCTGCACCAGTTTTACGAACAGTGAATGAAAGGTATCATGTGATAGCATATACAGTTATTGTGCATCCTCTTTTGACAGTTTTTGCTATAATAGGCGGATCCAGGCGTCCAAAAAGGGGGTTATGTTTTACCTCCCAACATAGGTGCCCTGACACCGCCTATGCATGACCAATACAATTGTAGTCGTTCTCTCATAAGAAAATTGTAACATAACAAGACCATTACCACCCTTTTTAGAAACAGTACCAACAAAAACCTTATTTACTATACTTTTTGTGTACCCCCAATCTCAATGATCTGTATCCGCCTATGATTTTTGAAAATGCATACTTTTAGGATCCATGTGAATTCCTGGTTCATTCTCTATCGATCGGCAAAAGTTGCGTTAAGATTGGTTCAGAAACCTGGCCGTGATAAACAGTCTAAAATGTATCTGCAATTTGCCCGTTTTTACCCCCTCTACCCCCTATTGACATTTTTTCAATTTTTATTTTTTAGAAATGTAGATCACGTTGAGCGAAATCGAATGCCGTTTGAATTTTGAGAATCGGCCCGTTAGATCTCGAGATATCAAGGGGGGGTCGTAAACAGCCCCCCCCCCCCTGCCACTAATAGGGGGTAGCCAGGAGCCTGCCACTAATAGGGTTAAGTCGTTTTCTGCACTTTTCCCCGGGTATCGTAGAGTCTCTGTGTGCGGCTGTCAACGTCTCTGTTTTTTTTTTCTGAGGCTTAAATACCCCGACCCCAAAAGCATCCACTTGGTTATTCGAAGAAAATCAAATCACTTTTTCATAAGATTTTCAAAGTGACGTCATTTCCATCTGACCTTCGCTTTTCTTGACGTTTCAAGGCCTATAGAGAACCGATATGGCTCCTCATTACCAGTTTTTGGGTATGCAGTGCACGCTTCGTATTTTATCGTAATATTTCAGGGAGTCTCGTGAATGCAAAGATCTGGAGGCTGCATAAAAAGCATCCGGCGACTTTTACGAACATTTTTAGTACGACTTTTGATGTGCTTGTCCTCAGAATTCAAAAGTTGCCGGGTTTCTGAAGGTCTGACGAGTTTTTGCGGCTTTTTCCCGGGTCTGTCGGGTCGGTGCCGCGGCGGCGCCGGTACTCGTTGGGCGCCGGAAACGAGCGGCCTCGGTTCTCGGAACGACGCACCGCTCCGTCGCTCCCCGTCGGAGTCGTCGAGCCGCGTCGAAGCGCGCCGCTTTTAGCCGCGGCCGGCAGCCTGGTACGGCGGCGGCCGGAGGCGGAGCTGGGCACGCGTCCCTCAATGGACCCGGACTGAATACGGCCTAATGGCGTCTGGGCCGTGCGCATACACTCGTCCCGATGGGCGGCGCTCCATAAGGCCGCCGGTGCGCCGCCACCGGACGCACGACCGTCTATAGACCCCAATCAATAGACTGCGGCCTCGGGTCCTCCTCTCAGCGCGCACTCTATCCGGGCAGCTCGGCTGTGCGCCCAACAGCTCTGTTTCTTCGTATGGCTCTTCCTTGCCTCAGGCGTGTGCTGGAAGTGCTCCTGCAGATACCCGGATATTGTTTCTGACTTTTTGTCGAGAGTTTGATAAACTGTGGCTACTGTTTATACTGTTTTTTTTTAGCCAATCTAATAAATGATTGTTTTTTCTTGCTTCAAAGAATTTATTTGTGTTATATTTTGTTCCCGCTTTCTTCTGGTGTAGAACATACACGCATCACGCCTCTGGCCGTCGCCCTCCCTCGCTGGCCGCCGTCCTCTCGCCCGCCGGTCTCCCGGGTACGCACAGCGCCGTCCGCTGCTCCCGTATCGGTCATCCACCGTCACAGCGGCGTGGCGGCGCGTCCGTCATCCATCCCCGCTGGGCTCCGGCCGCCGGGGGCGCACGTCATATGCGGCCAGCCTGCGCGCCCCGATACATCGGCTTATTGCCACTCAGGCCGGTCGGCCGGCCGTGCCGGGCTGCGCTCCGCGCCGGTGAGCCGCGCTGAGCCCGGCAGATTGGTCGGCCCAATGACGGATCTGGCGTGGCGCAGCTGCCGCTGGCGGCTGCCCCCCGGTGGGTGGTGGGTGGGGGTGGAGGGGGTGTTTATTTGCCGCCCACTGACCCGGATTTGGGCCGCCGCCGGTGGTGGCTCGCTGTTTATCGCCGCCCAGTGACGAGTGCGTCGCCGCGCGATGAGAGCGGCTCTTATCGCGTCCGCAGAGAGCCAGCCGGCCAGCTTCTCCTGAGAGGCCGATAGTGGCCGCCCCCGCCCCGCTCCCCCCCGCCCCCGCCCCGCCCCGCCGGCCCGCCGACTTATCTGCCCACTCGGCCGATAGGCATTGGCGACGCACTGCCGAAGTCTGGCGATGGTGTTCTGCTGATTTTGAGTTATATGGGAACATGCACAAAATCAGAAATTATAGGGTAGACGTTAACTACGACTCCATGATATGCTGGAAAAGGTCCTATTTCTGATGCCATTCTTGTTATTACATTTATTTATAGTTTATAGGTCATGGAGCCTGGTTGCGTAGTACACGTCATGAAAGAACAGTCAGCCCGGAGTGCTCAAAGGCGTTTCCGGTCTTCGGAGCTCGCTCCGAAGCCCTGCCTGGTCCAGGAATTAATCCGGTTGATGTTGAGCAGATGACTCCCTTTCAGTGAACAATGTCGCGTTGCACACACTGCAGAGTTCAGTGCGGTAGGCGTCGTAGTAACTATTAGAGCAGCATCGTTTGAAGTCCAGGGAACGTGGCTGGCAATGGTACGTAGGTCTCCAGTCCGTCTTGAGCTCTTTTGCAACGCTCTCTGGTTCGTGGGACTCGTGACCGGGGGCTCACAGCCACGATCGTCAGCTGAGGGCTTCTCCAGAGGGAGCGAATCATCGTCGCCGCCCAATGACGCGTCATCGCTGGCCGCTGAAGCGTCACTGCACGACATCGGAGCGTCATCGCACGACGTCAAAGCTGCCCCTCACGACTGTCGGCGGCGGAAGACACGCCACCTGCGCGATGTCCACGCTCCGTGCGAGGTCTGCGCGGCCGACCGGCTCGGCTCGACTCGTCAAGCGACCGGTAACGTTTCCTCATCGTGGCCAGGATAACATCTGAGCGCCGCGTCTTGAGCCGAGTCTAACCGGCCGACCGGGAGGCCGTGGTGTCGCAACCAAGTGCGCAGCTAGCTCCCTGAGCCGGGCGCTCGCCGCCAAACCTGCTGGCGAACAGCGC